AAAATATGTCCTTTAAGGGAAAAAGCAAAATTCGATATTTAAATAAACGGAAAGGAGCGCCTATAACGAAATTTTTAGAAGGTGGGAGCTTTTTATAACTTAAGTACATTTAAAGAAAGGATGGATGTGGCACCTGAATAGTTTTATATTTCTCTTCACGAAACGTCATATTGCTATATATCTCAAAATTTTATCCATTAAATTAATATTAGAGTTTACTTTAAACTTAATCTTGAATTAATTTTTATTTGGAATTTTTTATTTCTTGACATACTACGTACTTTGATCCTAGCACATCTTTACGGCCTATTCTTATCCTTCTTTAAACAGAAATTTGCAAATTAGCATATATACGGCCAATAAAAGAACAAAGCAAAATATGAGACAAATAAGTATAAAAAGAGATATTTTAAATTTTTGTAATATAAAATTTTTTGTTTTAAATACAAGTTTTCATAGTTAATATTATGAACGAAAATTATTTAGTTTTATTCAATACAAATTTTGCATATGGTATTTCTTGTTTGCACATTGTATGATTGAAACAGTTAGAAGTAACTAAAGCATTATTCAGCGCTAAATAGAGGAGATACTTATTATTGTTTTTCACAAATTAATACTTCATTAATGGTATTTCCTGTTGTTCAATTGGTTCTGCATACACCTATTTTTGAAAACTAGTAAAGGCCAATAGAGCACGTGCATGACTCCGTTTGCCAACAGTCATCAAGTATATCAAAATGGCACTGACGTTACTCGTATGAACGAATCCAGCGGTATTATTTGGGACTGTTATATAGTTGTAGACAGTATAGAAACATGCATAAAATCATTAATACAAATATTAATCATCATTTGATTTTATATATCTTTTTAATTTACCGGTGTAAATTTCCTTAAAATTACTTCTGATAAGGATAAATAAGGTTTTCGACAAGTTTACTTAGAGTACTAAATACGCTAACCATAATTTTAATAGTTTGTAAATAAGCACTTCCTTGACTTTTATAATACTGATAACAGTTAATTTAAAAGAAGCATACACTAAACTAAGAAACTGTTACCAGCTAACTTGTGCAAAATTAAATTAAGTATTAAAAGAATTTGTAGTTTTATAAAGTAGCATCAGTAACTTAGAGTCTTATTTATTATATTTTTACTTTTGAGAATAAACAAAAACTATGGACAGATCATAAGTAAAAAACCAGTAAGGTTAAAATATCAAATTTGGTATAAAAAACCTTAAAGAAGAAATTTTTAGATGTAAATTTTCTTTTTTTTTGTTCTGTAGTACTTCAATAAAGAACTTAATTTTATAATAAGGTGTTACTCAGTTTTTACTTAAGTAAATAATTTCACTATAGAAAGAAAATAAGCCTAGGAAGTATTAGTCGTGGCAGTACGTTTAAACCGTTTTGTCATTCACCAATGCTACTTATTGATATCTATAAATATTTCATCCCGAAAAAAATAAATTTTATGACTTTTTCTGAAAAAAAGGTATTTATAGCTCTTACAAGAAAGTTATTGGGAGTGCCTCCACAAATTTTGAGACATTCGCTTCTACAACATCCAATAGAAGAGAAGTTAAAATTTTTCTAAGCCTTTGATCCCAAGACTTTATATTAAACATTGATACAAGTCCAAATTACTGAGAGATACTCGTATGTTTTTGGATTCTCTTCAATTTATCAACTCTACCATCAATAATTATATATTAGAAGCATTTTCGTTGAAAGAATTTTTCTCAAACAACACTTAAATCTTTTATAAGTCAAGGTATTGAAGAGTTAAAAACCGGAATTGCCGTACAGTGGATTTGTTCAAATATTAATGTTAACATATATAATATAATTTTAGAATATACACAATTTTTACCGTCTATAAGGCTTAAAATATTATGTTTCTTAGCACTAGATCATAACCTGGCAAAAAAAATTGCAAAAAGAAGTTGCAGAAAACACTTATAGTGAGGTCTGTGACAAACATATGGATTATCCAAAAATAAAAGGGATTTTAAAGTTACCTCCCCTCACCCAAATGTTGGTAACTGTGGTATAGAAAAACATTTAACTCTGTTACAACTAAAAATATTTCGAAAAAATTTTCTGAGCTTTGTTAGTTGATTGAAAACTGAATTTAAAGAGAATATCATTTGGCAAGCAACGACTGACTTTTCTTAACAATTTCTATTTTTATTTTCGAAAATTCTGGTGATGATTGACATAAATAACGATAATTTTTCACAGATGAAAGGTTAACTGATAACTGTCTACAAACTTATCCTTAAAAATGTTGTAAATTTGGGCAAATATATTGCTCTTAACAAGAATTACTACCAATTAAGCATTAATTCTTAATAAAAATTCCAATTTACTAAATAGGAAGCGTGCACACCACACCACCAGCCACCAGTAAAAAGAGTTTAAATTGATTACATATTTTGCTTGTGGCTCTGGCGCTCTATACCCGTGACCTACTCTTTACATCGTAGTGGGGAAACCCGTGCATAAATAATGCTCTTTCATCTGCTTCGGTATACCGCTCGCCTTCTGCCTTGGTACCTTGTTATATTACCTTTCGCTTTTCTACAATATAGCTAGTAGCCTCAAAATTTCCTTCATTAAATTTGCTCTACTAACGATAAGAAAAAGTAAACTTGTTGAAACTTTTTTTATTAGCAAAGTGTATATATCCTAAGTCAAGGGGTAAGAAAGAAAATTTAAATATAATGCGCCGTTTCAAATACCTCTTTAGTTTTTTAGTGTTTGTCTTTTTAAAACACCTAGAACGTTTCTTTTAGACTTTACCGGTGGGCCCTTTAAAAAGTATGAGCTTATAAAGCTACCATGGCTCCTGAGTATGACAAGATCCTATATTTAATGTTTATACACTTACTGGTCTCTTTCTGATAAGCATTGTCTTTACAGCTTTCAGCACTTCGTTGAGATCTTTAGACCTTTTTATCAGTTTTGATATACCAAAATCCTTATGGCTTTTTCAGCGAGGTTACTAAAGCTAGAAAAGTTACCTGTAAACCATTGTCTTCAGTGCTTCATTATAACTGGAAAGGCAGATATACCTCTTGATTTATTATAACCTTTTAATTGTCGAAAGTCTCTCGATCTTTTATTTCACCTTCCATAGATTGCTCATGCTGCAAGCATTTCTTTTGCACAAGAACTTTAGTACTAACATCAGCAAAACTGGCAAGTCTAGCTCCAGAAGCGGACCATTTTCATTAAAAACCTTACGTCCTTTTTATTTAGGTTAATTAGAATTTCTGGTCTAAAAAGAAGGCAACAACTTTAATAATATTAAATTAACTTTTAAAAATATTGGTATATTCAAATAATAATAAAAAAAAGCATGTAATATATCTGCAGTGGCGATTATTATATTTTATGTGTACGGATACTAAGCACGTAATCACGTAACTAAGTGGAATAGTATTGTTCTGGACACTTTAATAAAAAATGTTGAAGATGAAGCTAAACAAATGGTGCTATCAGAATGTTTCAGAATCTTTTTGAGAGGCTCCGCTCCATATAAACCGGGTGCGCCCACACTAGTTTAAGCCCATCATTTTACAAAACGCGGAAATATACACCCTACTAATTCAAGAATGTAGTATTAGCATCACCACAGATTGTAAATTTTGGCAGCATGTACAAATTGATAAAATAAAGAATTGTGGATCTTTATATAAACTATTGGTGTGGCAACTGTAAAAAAAATTACAAAATTATAGAAATCATCCCATCATGATAATACTCAGATAGTAATAATTTATATTGTTACCTTTATAATTTAGCTTCTTGTTGTTATGTTATTATAAAGTAGTAACACAAAGGTAGTTTCAAGTTGTGCTAACTACGAAAGATCTTCTCTTTGCGTCATACTTGGGGTCACTTTTTAAAATCACTGCTTAATTAAAAAAGAGTAAAAAGATCTATTTTTTTGTGGACTGTAGGGTTTCTACCCTTAGATGGTTTGGAGTATAATTACTAAATTTTGCACTAAGAATATAAATTTTAAAAAAGTGTTAAAGTACTGGTAGACCACAATTATTTTTCTTCATTATCTACGGAAAATTAAGTTGCACGTTATGTAAACTTGAAGAAGGCTTACTAGAAGGTTGTTAATTAACTGTTATATTACTTCTGTATAAAATAAGTGATTAAACATAAAAAAATGCCAACTGTTTTAATTAAAAATTAACTTATTTATTCCCGGTGAGTTACAGTGTATTCAGTTTTTAAGAAAAACTCCTCTATTGTTATAATATTGTTATATAATGAAGGCTTTATAAAAATTATTTTTTAAAAATTAAGGAGAACAAAACTACAATCTAATTTATTGTACATTTTAAAATGCGCAAACCCAGTTAGCATGGAATCCAGCCATATGAATTTTTAGAGCAGAGTCAGATTTTCAATCTTTTTCAGGCCAATTGTAGTAAAAACTATATTTTTTTGTATTACTTTCCTAATGCAGGTTTTTACTTAAAAGATTTAGTTAAAATTGTTTACAGGAAATGGCTTGGAGTAAGTTCTATCTTCCTTTGAAATTGTTATAAATTTTTATTATTAAAGCCTATTTAGAGTGAAAGTATACGAGTAATAGACAAATCTACAAAAAATGCAGATATAAGTTGAGGACCTGGAACCTTTGCAACAAGCTAATGAGCATGGAGCTGTAACTTAGACCCAACTTGGTGCTGCTTGTAACTAAGGCAAAAATATAATTTGTATTCCAACTCGAACCTGTTAGCAATTTGGAATTATTTTTATTGCTTCTGGTTGAATCTCTCCTGAACCTGCTGGTCAAGTGAAAAACTTCCACAGATCCATGCAGGGGCGTAATCATGCGCGCCGAGTAATAGGCAAATCTATTGAGATTGCAGATAACTAATCAAATACCTTAAATCTAATGCAACAATCTTAAGATCAAAGTATATAAATGAATTTTTAATGCAGACCTGTCAGCAATTTCACTTTATCTTTTTTTGCTTCATGGGAGTTCTCGGGTTACTTCTGTCTTTGTGCTTGCTGGGAAGGTTAAGGACTTCTACGGACCCATGTGGCAAGCTGCGGGAGTGCAGGAGAAATGCCATCTGTGGTGCACTGTAATAACAATAACTCGCTTTATCTATTAACGGGGTTTCAGCTAACTTTCGTGCTAATAAATAAGCTAATACTGTTTTTAAGTAGTAAATAGAAGCAGTGACCACTAAATTGGTGTATAATATCACAACTGCACTTTTTTAGGGACTTAAGTGGTTGTAAGCTTGGCACTGTAAATAATAAGCTGTTTAAAGGGCTCAAGTTCCTGATGGTTATGTAAGTATACGTCGTTTTTGAAACTTAAAAGTTGTATAAACTGAGCATTCTTCTCGTGAAGAATAAAAAAGTAAAGTTGATGATAAACTAATTTTTTTTTAAGTTTTTTTTAATTATTTTTAACAATACTTACAGAAACTTAAGCCACTGCAGGATAAGTACAGTGGAGGAAAAAACGTTTAGTGGGCTTCCAAATTTATTAGTCGTGTAAAGATTTATTAACGGAAATTAATTTACTATAAGCTATTAATATCAATTTTTAACGTATAACTTTAAATCTTAAAAAGTAAAAATAGTAAAAGAAGAATTTAGCAAAGCTTATAAGTTGTTTAATTGACATAGAGTTAAAAACTCAAATATTATTTTTTAAAACTGGAGTACGACAGCGCGTCTAATTTTTTTATAAAAAGGAATCTTTCGTATAATGAGTTGAAAAGCATTCCCGTAAATACCTTTAGTGGTCTTTCCGAAATGGAGATTTTGTATGCTTTAAAACTTTTTATGTTTACTTTTGCTTCTCTTTTACTTTTAAGGATCATGTTTGTTGAGAAAAACACTAAAAGCAATTTCATAGTTAGCTTTATGCAGCTTGTTTCATCTTGGTTGTTTCTATAGTGCGTTAACTTTAGAATTCTACAAAAACATAAGCTGAAAGAAATAGATAAATATATATATCAGAGATTTCAGTGCTGACTTGCATCAATATATTCATATATTGCTTCAGTTATTATCCTGTGCAAAGTACAAAGTTTAGTAAATAAACAAGTTTTAAGGGAATAAAAGTATTAGTGTTTTACGTGTTATGTAGAAGTTTTTGAAATATATTATTAAGCCAAGGTGCTATTATAACTATTCAAAGAAAGCAGCGACAAGATTAAAAACTTCTCGCATTTTTAAAAAAAAAAAGTTTAAACAACTGTTCGTGCAGAGCTTTTGGAGTAAGTGCAATTAAAATTAAAAAATAGATATTTTGAGTCTCGAAGTCCTTCCTGGTTATAGTCTGTTGAGCTATTATCAGTTTTTCGATATGAAAGAGTTATTTACTCCTTAGTCTTGCCATAATCCTCATGCACAAATTCTTAAAAAACTTCTTTACCCCTCTCACAGGGACTTTGGGCATAACCAGATAAACTATATTGCCCCGGGGACCTTTAGCAAGCTTACCTTGAGAAGATTGTAAGTATGAGTAAAAACCCTCAAGAACATTTATAACATTAAATTTCAAATAAGAATCTTGAACTTCAACAATATAAGTTTTCTTCTGCCTGGCGCCCTTGCCACTGTCTCCTTGGAAAGCTTGTAATTTATTATTATACCCACAAGCTCTTCTTGAAATACAGGGTGGTTGTTAAAAAGTTGGTTCTGACGAACGAGTAGTTATGAATAGATTCTACTTTTATTAATAACAAAGTAATTAATTCTGAATTCGGCCTTCAGTTTAACGTTGTTAGCGATGAGTTAAGGTTATTAACACAGTAAGCCACTGCGTAACGAAAAATATTTTCTTATATCATGCAAGAAGACCAGAGGCGTATTACCTCTCCTTACTAATAGAGAACTACAGAGGAACCCTTTACCTTTTATTACGGAAGACGTCATTAAGCCATTTCCTGAAAAGTAAGGAGCTCGCATATCTTATTCTATTGACCAGTCATAAATTTGTACTAGAATTATGCTAGGAGTTAGCCTCCGTTGCTGCGTGTTTGACTATTTCCAAGTCAAATTCAATATAGCTGTACACCCCATTATTCGGTGCACTTCCAGAGGAAAAGTTATAAAATTTATAGATTTGGATATGAAAGAATGTGAAGAGTATGCAGTCAAAAAGGTTATTAGGATAAAATACTTCTTTCTTTGGTTTCCTTTATTAACTTAGAGTAAAGAACTTGTTTCAAGAAGTTAACGCTGACGGCCTTGAGGAGCAGGTAAAGCTTTTTAAAATTCCTTACTTTTAGCGAGGTATTAATAAACCTTTAAGAGAAATTCATCATTGTCGAAAGGCAAGAGATGGTTTGCTAATACGACGAGATAACTTTTTTTAATTTTATCCTTCTTGCCCTTTAAGGAACCCAAGAATATTTTAGAAAGCCATAAAAATGAGCAGCATGAACCTATAACTGAGGAAGAGCATGATGAATGCGAAGATGATATGGAACTGTCCCATGATGGTCCCGAGGTAAAAGCAAAGCTAAGAAACTGTTTTATCACAACCTCATACTTATAGTAACATTAAGGATCTATATGTATAGCATGCGGGATTTGAGAGATATTGGCATGGCCATGCCCACTGGTCGTATGCCACTAGCTCTTCCATAACAACGCTGGTAGTACTATTGATCCTCTGAACCACCCAGCTTGGACGTAGTATTAAAGATTACTTCAATTTTTTCCCCTCTTTTCAATTGTTCTTGGCGTGGTAAACTGAGTGCTAAAGAACTGTCTTTGCTAGCCAGGAAGTGGCATATAAAATTCTTGACCACAACTCATAAGCTTTAACGAAAATTTTTTATGAAAATAAGGTACACCGTTAAGAACGGTATGCATACAAACTTAACGGGTTGGCGATACTAAATAAGCTTGACTTTAAATATTACAGTTTTAGTCGATGCTCATGTTATTTAGTATTATATATTGGAATTTAGGAATATATGTATATAATGTCGAGATAGTCCACTTTCCAAATAAAAGAGTAAACCTACTTCATGTTGGGACTATAAACTTCCTTGAAAGTCATGCCAAGTCAAAATCGCTTTGGGCGACGTAATCAAATATTGCAAGACTAAGAACGCATAACCCGGAAATTTTTGTTTTATACTATATATATATAATTTCGTTAATGAAGAACGCGATTCTTGCATTTTGCTTTTTTGTCATTTGTTCTAAGTTTTTGAAGGCCCCAGTCTAAAGCGCCAAAGCCGAAAGGAATTAAAATTATATACAGATCAAAAACTTATTCTAACGTTAAATAGCTTGAATGACTCAGTTGTGTCACTCTTATAGGCTCCTGTATTCTGTAACAGTCTATGCTTTCAAATGTGACTTCGTATTCAAAAGCAAAAGCGCTGTAGTTCTGCTGAGCTAATTTAATAATACTATCCAGTTATGGTAATAAAATTATGACATACATTGTTAACTTGAATAACTTTTGTATTATCTTTATTAGTCCCCCTTTGCTTGGTATGTTGTGATATAGTAACGGTTTATTACTGCCTACATTAAGTTAAACAAAAAGAGCACTAACAGTCCTTTGTGTTTGGTGCATTTCCTCCAACTCGTTTTTATGGATAAGATAAATGGACAATTAAAATAGCCCACGAAAGAACAAATCTATGATAAAAGTAACCATCCCCCTACTAAAGCCCCTCTAATTTTTTTTATATGACTTACTACCGTGCTAGATGTTAATAAATTATATATAATATATACTATGATCCTTAATAAGTACTATATATTTAGTTATTCTATAAACAATAACCAAAGGTTCAAAAAAAGTCTTATAAAATCTTATTATCTCCTCTAGATAAACCCGACGCCCATTGTCTTTTCCAAAGTTACTGTCACTAAATTTTGAGGGGTCTTGATAAATCATTACGAATGTATTTCTCTCTCTAGCTAGCTTTCTTCTAGCATGTCCCAAATTGAAGGTAATTTAAGTGTTAGTGACTTTAATTCACCTCGAAACACGCAAATTCGGTAGCTCGAACTGAAATATTGGTTAATTAAAAACCAGAAAATTGCTTTAACGGGATAGTTATTATGGCCTTCCGTAATTTTGGTGGGAATTTTTCCAATATGAAAAGTTTCACTAGATTTATTGGTTTTTGGAACTCATTTCTTCCTATTTAATTCCAAAGTAAAGTAATTATCAACTTTTATACTTTAGACTATTAATAAAAGAATAAGGCTACAAACATAAAAATAGTAATTTTACAATATTTTGTAATAGTATCGGCTACTGTGTTAAGTACTTGCAATTTTAAGAGTTTTTTTGACTTAATATACTAAGCCAATTCAATTAGAAATATAAACAGTTAAAAGATTTGTATATTGAAGAAATATGATATTAAATTTTGGAAAGGGTGGTTGCATATTTATAAACTTAAATTAACTGTAAAAGGAAAGGTGTTGGTAAAAGTTAATTTTTCTAGTTTAATAAACTTGCATTCCTGGTTACCTTTACATCATAAAGTTAGTTAGAAAGGGTATTGACCTTCGGGACAAACTTATACAACCAGAACCAGTTGTCAAGCTTTTAATTTCAGTGTGTTCACTTTGACCGCCTGCTATTAAAGTGAAAGTATGAGGTGCTAAATAGACATCTAATAGTAACTTGTTATTTGTGTGAAAATTTTTAATATTAGGTATCTATAATTATGGAAGTAAAGATTTAATAGCTTTTCAGTTCAAAGACCGTTATATACACTTCCAGTGCAATTACGATGCCAAAATTGAATTCATTTATTTATTTCATTTATTTATTACCGACATACTTACAGTGGAAAAATGCATAGAACATCTTTACTGATTACTCTTATTCTCCTCTTAAACTTTTGAAGAGGCAAAAACCAGTCTCTCTCGTAGAGTCTTTACCTAAAAAGTTTTGCCCAACAGCCCATGGGCAAGCCCCGAAGGAGTACATGATTTCCCTAATGTATTGGGGAGTTGCGATTCTCCCGTACTTCAACCTAGAGTGGTGAAAACTGTTAAACTTGAGGAAACCTAGAGACCAGCCAGCAAAGCGCCAGCCATGCCTCCCCGACGTTAACTCTACATAACCTCATTGTAGAGAGAATTGAAGGGGGTGGCCTCTCGGGTCGTCTCTCATAACATAAAGCTATCGAGGTCATAATAGTTTTAGCATTTAACTTTTTTTTCTCCCTTTTTTCCAGAATATTATTATTAGCTGGTTTCTTGGGCTGTTTCAATACTCACCTTTCTAAGCTATATTTTAAAAAAGGTCTATATATTGAAAAATGTGCGGAGGATATAACTGAGGAAGACTTTTCCTGGTGTTCGATGGGGTTAAATATGTTTAAAATACTGTAAGATACATAAGTTTTTCCACTGCCCCGTTCTTGAACGAGAAAGCGCATCTCCTAAGGCAGTTAAGTATAGTGTATAATTTTATCCAGCGTTTATGCAACTACTAGCTAGCCAAAACTAGTAAGAGCTAAGAGATAGCAAGAATACGTTAACCCTTTTTTCCTCTTTTTTTCTTTGTTTGGGTCACCAATTTTTGTGGCCCGATTTGACTTCCTGGAAATGGTAGTATGCCCGAGGGGTAGTAGGCTAAACATATATATGACTATTTTAGTGTTGATTAATTTTTATTTTATATTAGTCACTCGATAGCTATATCAACACTAAGAGCTAACTATACTATACGTGCTTGGGACTCAATTATTTTATAGTATTTATGCAATTATAAGGAATTAATTGCCCTTGTAATAAGGTTCCCAGGATGCAAATTTTTTTTTTAAATTGCTTATGATACCGCTTAAAGTAGGTTTTAAAGGGCAATGCTGTCTTTGTAAGAGTGTAAGCTGCCCACAAATCAAGATGTACTCGTAAACGTCCTTAATATTTTATTTAGGTAGGGGCAGCGTATTTCACTGCACTCGTAAATTAGTTTTGGGATTAAGTTCTTAAAATCATGTTTATTATGTTAGTTTTGTGCTCCATTAAAATTTTATCCGATACTTGTCATTAGTAGGGGTCGCTTCCTTATTAAGAAATTATAATCAGTGAACATTTTGGTTTCATTAAGTGTAACCAGTTAAATTCATTTTTGTTTTAAATGACGTGCATTTTTTGTCTCTGATAATTTTATATTCTTTAAGTTATCTCTTTCTGTTTTATTTGAGCTTATATTTGTTAAGGAAGAGTCCTTGAACTGTGAATATTACAAATATAATTTTTAATTTTATTACTATTACTTTCACTTCTTGTGCTGTATGATGTTTGGGTAGAGGACTTAATTATAATCTAGTTATCCTAAGTTTTATATTTTTATTGTAATATGAAAGTGTTTCCAAAAAGAACAATACGTCTATTAAGTTATATATCTTATTGGTTGGTGTTTCAGGAATTGTATTCGTCATCAGTTGAATCTATTGGGGAAAGCTAGGATGTAACCTCTCTATAGCCCGATTTTGCAGTTTTGACTTGTATTTAGTTGTAAGCAAGTATTTTAGATCCTAATGGTTTATATTTTTTTAATGTGTATTCCTTTATTCCATATATATCATTTTCGTGTAGCTTTTTAAAATAACATTGTGTAGGGAGTAATAGCCGGGTACTTTGGGCTACTTGAGAGTACAGAGCGCTATACTATTTATCTTTTAAATGCGTTTTTCATCTAACTTATGTTGTTGGGTGTCTTGAAAGAAGGCCTTCGAGCACTAATTTATTTCGAAACATTGTAAGCCCTGAACTCTTTTATGACAGCCGATGCTGCATTCCGATTAATTTTTCTGTTTATTTTATATTTTCGGTTATTTCTTATGTATTTCTACAAAGAAGATTATTTCATATTTAGTTTTACTTTAACAAAGATTGCAGTTAAGTGCTTCGATCTTTCATTCGTTCCGTTCCGATTATTAGATAATTCTATCCATCATAAGTCGGTAAACCCCATTGTGGGAGTCTACTTAGGGCAGTTAACCAAGGGGTTTGGGTAAATATGTTTTGAAACTTTTGAGAGGTTTTTTTGATAATTTTATATATTCTAACGTATCCTTGCGATTAATGGTTCTAGATATAAAATAAATTATTTTTTATTTTATGCTAACATGTCCATGCAAAATGTGTTCTTTTTAGGGATTTAACTTAATTAATGTCGTCGATGCTTTGGGTGTTAAATATTATATTTTTGTTATAAATATTGTGGGTGAGTTCATACAATCCTTTTTACATTAATTCTTCTGCTATTATTAAATGGTCTTTACGGACTGTTGCTTTACCGTTACTAAAATTCATAATGAAATTATTTTTAACTAATTATGCTACTGATAGTAATTTTTTTCTCGAATATCGAATTAATAATAACTTCTTTTCTATCAAGAAAATTTCTATAACCTGTTTTGTTATTTTATTTGCTAATTTATGGAGTTTTCGGAAGTTAGCTTATGCTTAACGTTATTGGTGGTCTTCGATCCGACATAGAATGCGGTATACGCTGCAGAGTACAACTAATCAATGAACGTTTCTCTGCAAGCAAAGTAACTATTTTTGCACTTATAATTGACGAAATCATTTAAAAAAATTTATCATAGTATGGTAAGGGAAAATGTAGTCAAAATTCTACTTATTATTCGTTAGCAGGCTATGCACTCTTAGCAGTGGTATTTCTAACGCGCTCTTGTGTGGGTGGCTATGAAGTTTAAATTGTCTATTCCAGTTCTTAATTTTTACTTGTACTATTTTAAACATTTGATTCGACTCCTCTTTTTTCTACGTAGAGAAAGTATCTACTTTTATAAAACCATATTTTCGTGTAAATGCCCACTTCATATAGAGAGCAATATAGGGAATTAAAAACGTAAAAGTTGCATATGTACTTTCGCAAAAAAGGTCTTGAAAATTTTAACATGTGACAAATTGCCTTTCTCAATTCTTCAAGGGCTGCATAAAGTCGTAATTCTAGTAGAAGACATAGACTTTGTCTGGTATATACGCTCTGTTCGGCTATTGTATAACGCACTTTTTATTCGAAATATTGAAAAAATAAATTGCACGGGACTTAGTTTAACTATATGTACAGTCATTTGGTTATCTTCTGTATATCATATTCAGATTTAATAATTTTTTTAGCGTTTTATAATGGCTTACAATCCTCAAAGTTCCCAAATGGAAAATGCTAATTTAAAATCAATAGATCCTGAAAAAGAGAGGTTATTACACAAACTTTCTCTCTATTACCCATATTAAGTATATTTAGAGTTAAGTTAAATAATCTTTTAGTATATTTAATTTTATATTTGTTTTGTAATTCATTTTGCTTAAGATTTTGATTCTGGTTTATAGAATTAACTTGGAGAGAAAAAAACAGGCACAGCAGTCATTTATTTCGCAAATTTTAGATCAGGATGCTCAAGCCCGCTGTTAGTTTTGACTATTACAAAGTCGAAACGATAATACATTTTTATCTAAAAAAAAAAGATTTAAGAAAGTTATTAAAAGTTGTTAAATACAACCCTATAAAGCTTTTTTAGGGGCAGTTTATCAATTTTGTATTTGTAAAAACTTTTTCTTTGTTAAGCCTGGCCTATTAAAATTCATGTGAAGTAGGAAGAATTTCTGCTGTTAAACCGGAAAGAGCTACAGCGATAGCAAACTTACTTATATCAATGGTTCAACGAGGACAAATTGTAGGTCGTGTGGATGAATCAACGTTTGTTAAAATACTTTCACAGGTAATATTTATGAATTATATATATTAATTTACTAGTGTTAATTTATTTTTCTACTAATGATTATTTGTTATCACTGTTTTTACTATGCTGAAGGTCGTTGACAGCGAAGAGTCTAAGAAACCCAAGGTTACCATCCAGAGGAGAAGAGATTTTGATGATTTTTCTGATTAAACAAATTTCTTATTTCTTTAATTGTATTTAATAACTTTATTTTGCTCATAAAAAAGGTTATAATACATATAAAGTATATATGTATTTTATAAAACAATTAAAAACGGCTCAAAATTATGAGGAAGCTTTGCGCTTATTGAACAAGGCCTTTATTTAGACCGACTTCCTTTATACCTAGACAATTTTAAGAGAGCATAGTTTTGTGCAGTAAACACTCGTTCTGAAGCTATTGACATTAGTTCATAGATTACTAAACAATAGTTAGTCATCCCAAATAATAAATTTTTGAATCAAGTTGCATACACTTCTAACTTGTGTAATCTGTCTCTTATCACTGTCTTTGCACATACTCTAAAATGCACACACTTATTCCTTATAGCCCTTAAAAATCTATATAAGTGGAACTACTAAGAGTACCTTATTATGGAATAATTACAAGGCCTTTCAGCCTTATAGATTTAAGATTTAAAGTCTTGTATAAGCAAAGATATTGGAGAGATCGCAATCTGGTTAACGTTAAGTTTTTTAAAATGTGCGTTACTGCAAATAGGCATCATTGTTTCATTATAACATTCAGGTTTCTATATGATTAAATTGCTTAACTACTCAAATGCATACAGTACGAAGAAGAAAGCCTGAAACCACATTCAAACTAAAAAAGTGCATCTTTAGCCAAATAAAGATTCTATGAGGCAATTTGGCCTTTGACTGGCGCGCAGGAGGAAAGTGCTAGGATAATAATTAATCATTAGTAGAAAAATTGTGCAGAAGCTCGAAGAAATAGAATGCAGACTGCTTAGTTTTGTTAATAACTTAGAATATTATGCGTGGTGCGCATACAATTCTTACGAGTTATCTCAAATTTTTTATATATACTACATATATGCGTATAGAAGTTTACAAACGATAAGTGTGCTCTTAAGCGCAGAAAACACCTGCTTAGCTTGTATTTACCTACTATATCTAAAGGGGATCGGGTCACTAATACTTACAGCGAGTATGTATCGAAATAATATCTGAATGTTTCTATTACCAAAAGCAGCAGCCACAGGCACGAGGCACGAGGCCCCTGCAGAGAACCAGCAAGGATGCTAACTAGGTATACCCAACTACGTGCCCTAGTTTCATTCGTTCTGTTATAGTAGCTCAATAGTTTCTTTTAATCCGGCACTGTTTCACACCTTACCAAAGTAACTCCTTTAGTCTTAATATCTTTATTTGTGAGTTTAGAACTACTTGCCACCCTGTAGTCTATACTAACTTTGTTTGGTTATAGTGAGCAAGCATTTGATTATCATTTTACTTCCAAGAACCCCTGGAAGTAGGCCCATTTAAAGGTAGGAACTCATTGATTAAGGTAGCTGGTTTAAACATTTTTTTCTTCTATTATAAAAGATAAGTAATTTTTACGTCTTTCTTTCAGAAAAAACGGATTTTGGTGTACTTTTTAAACAAAGCGCTATTTATAGATGATTTAAGTTCTTTTACTTTCCAATGTGGTTCTTGCGATCTTAGCCCCTTTCCTTTTTAATTATCCTTTTCATCCTTCTATTTTTACAATCTTAGTATGTTCATTGTTACCTGTCTATGATCGTTCCTTTTATTTTTAACTTTTAATCTTTCACTCATTATATTATTTCAATCACATATTTTTTTGTTTTTCTATCTTCATATACCATTATAAACGACTAGGCCCTACTATTTTAAAAGCACTGGTATTAGTATTAATATATAAAATTTTAATTTAATGTTCAAGTAATTTTGAATTGTAGCAAGTTAATGATGTTTAAAATGATAACTGTTACAACTTTGAATCCAAAGCTGTTGCCCATTCTGTCATTTTCTTTAACGTAACTTGTTTTATCTCATCCTTATAGTTTTAAAAATTCTCTGATATTGAGAGGTTTTCAGGCCCTAAGGTAATAAACCAATTTTATAATAACCTCTCTTATATGGTGGTTATTAATAAGCGGAGCTTTTTATAATAAAAAACCATGAATCGAACGGCGATTTGTAAATATAAATTAGAGGTGTGAGTGACATTTTTTTGGGATCTTACCCTTTTTCTTAATTTCGCTGGAACGTGAACTCCTGTCTTAAAGATGCAAAAAACCCTTAATTGAAGTCTAAACAGTGTTTAAACTCTACTTGCAAATTGCATTGAAGTAGTAAAAGTTAAAAAAAATACATAAGCTTTGTTGAGAATTTATATTAAACAGTTTGACACCAATAAGCAATTTAGCTACTTTTAGCTTAAAAGTACAACTATTAGTTAAGAGAAAGTGTTATAATTGCATAAAAATTTTGACCTATCTTCACAATTGCGCGATTTCTTTGAGCAACTTACCGTTCTATATAAAGACATAATTTTTAATTAGAGCAGCAGCCCAACCGTTAAAAAATTTCAATTCGTATACTTAATTTTAACGACCTCCTCTGTTTGGCCCTACATTCACTTAGTTTTCTTTAAAACGGCTTAATCGATTGGTTAAAAATCTAAGTACAAATTTAATAGGTAAAATCATTATCGTAAAAATTTTAAATTTTACTTCATACTTAGGCACATATGAACTCAAAGATTAGTTTTTATATAGTTTTTTTTTTGCTGTCACATTCCCCCCTTTATAATTAATTTTTTCCAAACTAAAATTATTTTTAACAGAATAAATCTAGTTTAGTTAGGTTCGTTATTCACTTTTTTTCATGCACTAAAAACCAATCCCCAGTGAGCTCATCATTTACCTATTACGGCTTGCGGTAATAAAGGTAACTTTTTCAGGTAAAAAGATAGAAAAGTTCGCTTTTTAAATGTATTGTTAGTCTGTGTAAAAAAAAAACCTTATTTGTTTTATAATCCATTTCTCAAAGAGACCTATTTTACAGCATATGTAAATTACAGTTGGAAGCCCATTAATGCTGTAAAATCAAGAAAACTATAAAAAAACTTATAAATTTTAATATTTATTTTGAGGGCGAACAGAAATATTTTAAAACAATTAGTAATTTTTTCTATGCTTGGTAAACTTCATGTTATAAATCTATATTATGATTCCGCTATTGATGTAAAATATAATTGATTTATCTATATAGAGTTCTTTGGGCTTTTTTCACAAATTCGAAGAGATATATGCTTTAAAGATTTCAAATAACGACTACATGATTTAATGAATATAAACCACTGGACTATTAACAAAGACGATAATAACTTTTTTCAAGGCGCCTGGCAGATAACAGGTTAATTTAGTTTTGGTACGCTTACCTCATTTTTGTTCTATTATCACGTGCAAACTTAAGCTTAGAGAAAAGCGAAATAGAAATCGTCAGGCATGAAACGATATCGCGGATAACTGTTGTGATGCTCATACCTCAAGGTGAGCCTTCTCTCATTGAATTTATCAGAGATTCAGTCATAGGAGATGGCGTTTTTTTTGAGGGGCCTTTTGGCCAACGTAGTATGGTTTATGCAGATTATGTGGTTGACTTTTTTTAATTTTTTTTTTTCATTTTAGCTTACTCAGTTCATATTAAAAATTTTTAGGCTTCAGGAAAAAGCTTGAGTTTCATAGAAGATTTTCTACGCGACAATGTTTTACCTTTTTACGGTAACACGCATACTACTACTTCAACTTCTGGTTATCAGGTAACACTTCGAAAAGTTATAAATATATATTTTTATTTCTCTTCTGTAGACAACCTTCTATCGCAAAGAAGCAAGAGAAATTATACAACAATGTGTTAATGCCACAGAGCTAGATTCTATTATATTCATAGGAAATGGAGTGACTGGTAAAATCTTCGCTAAATATATAGAATAATTAAATAAGTAAATTTAAAACTAAATTAATCTTCTAAATTTAATATTGAATAAATATTCTAATATTTATATATTTAAATTTATATTAATAACTTACTCTAGCGGCTATTAATAAGCTTTGTCATGGCTTAGAGCTGCACTCGTATGCTTCTCATCCAGGTTTTCTTTTATTTGTAGTTTTAAGTTAGCGCAACTCTCTATTATTGTCAAGTTTCGTTAAGTATAATGTCCCCCTTTTAAGCTGGCCTTCCTGTTGTTTTTATTTCAATATTTGAACATCATTCCAATCTTCTTCCTTGGAGGGAAAGTGGGGCAGAAATAATTACGATACCAGAAGATGAAAATGTAGATTAAAATTTTATTTTTATTAAATGAGATTCAAGTTAATTTTACCAGGGAGAATTTGACTTACCTCTTTTCAAGCAACTTTTGCGTAAGTATTCCTCCAGGTCTCTTTTAATTGGCAGTTTTGCCGTTTCTTCTAACGTTACTGGTGCACTTCTTCCTGTGGATGGTCAAATTGTTTTTCTAATCCTTTTTTTTATAGCTTATAATAAATTTTTAAGAAATTTCGGAGTTAATGCATCTCCATAACGGATTTGTCTTTTGGGATTACGCAACAGCTGCTCCTCATATAAAAGTATACCACGTGATAGTAAACTTTATTTGCTTTTTACGTTTTTATTAACCAAGATCGACATGAATCCTATTGACCGGTTGAAGCAGAAGGACGCTATTTTTGTATCCCCTCATAAATTTATTGGCGGCCCACAGACTCCGGGTATGTACCCTTTTTTGTGAGAATTGATTGTTTTTATTTGATCTGACCATTAAATTTCTTTATGTTAAGTTTCAAGTGCTAGGCTGTTTCTCTTTTTTCGCTTTGCTAATTTTTTTTAAATCTACTTAGGATTACTCATAGCGAAGAAGTCCCTTTTTCGGAACAAAAAGCCCTCGCAAGCGGGAGGCGGAACTGTTTTTTTTGTATTGAGTTATTTTTGTTTACTACTGAAATGGATTTTAGTTTGTATTGCGTTTTACTGGAAGGTTTCTTCTAAAGCGCACCAATATTTAAGGGACATTGAGCACCGCGAAGAGGCCGGAACGCCCGCTATAAGTCTTGTCTTTTTGGGGGCTGTATGTATTGTGCATTTATCCTTCTCACTTCATAGTTGAGTCTATTCGCGCTGGTCTGGTATTCCAGCTCCAAAGAGCGGTGGGGCACGACACTATTAGACAAGTTGCTTTCATTATTGTTTTCCTGCCCTTTGTTTCCCAACGACTGCAAACGCCCAGCTCGAGTTCACGTTCCGCCAGAAAGCCTTGAGTGTTTGGAGCAGAAATCCGAACATCATTTTACTGGGAAAGTATGATTAAACAGTCTGGCTGGCCGTTACTTGCCCTCGAGGGCCTTGACCCGTCGATCTCTTTACTACAGTCCGAGGCTTGAGTGCTTGCCGGTTTTTTCGCTGCTGGTGAAGCACTGCGGCCTGTTTCTGCACTTCAACTTTGTCTGTTCTCTGCTGAACGACTTGTTTGGAATTCAGGTTTTCCTGTTTCTTTTTAACGCCGCTCTCATAGCTTTATTAACGCTCTTGCTAACAGTGTCGAGGCGGCTGCGTTTGTTCAAACCCTTTTGTTCAGGCGGCGCTAGGAGTGAGTGACCAACTGTCTCGTCAGTACAAAGAGGCCATGAAAGAGGCAACCTACCTAACTCCCTCGTGTGTCGTTACTCTGCTCACGTTCGCTCCGCAGGATGAAAGGATCGACAGACACCACCTTCGCCGCGACTTCGAGGGTTGTGGCAGGGAAGTGCTCCGCCCCGGCATAGTTCGTTTGAGTTTTACCTACTTTATGGTGGGTCTTTATTATATACTGGCGAATCTTCAACAGCAGACTTGTGCATATACAGAGCGAAAGCATGGTCGACTACATCATCAGCGCTGTAGACATTGTCGCCTCGCACGGATGGCGTCTTCTCTCGCATTACCTTTACGATCCCAACACTGCGGAATGGAAGCACCACAAGCACACTCACACTATTGCCAAGCATCGCCTGTGGCTGGGTATCCGCCCCATACTGGCGTCGTTCAGGCGTCCAATTCCGAACTTCTATCCGTTTGTAGGAAATATATCATACGTGAACGGAAAACTGAGCTCTTCTTCGGCACCCACTAAAGGCGGTGCACATACTTTAGTCATTTCCGTATATTTTTAGTCATATGGAACTTCGCGCTTGCATAGACACGAGGTATTCGCAACTGCTGAAAGAAGGCCTGCACATACTTCTCGATTCTCCCTTTTACAAGAACTGCATCGACGCGCGAAACCTTTTAGGCCCTGATATGAAGTTGCGGTACACGTTGAGGCTGTCACTATAAATCCCGCCTTCATCATTTTTTATGCAGTTGGTTCTGCAACCCTGACGAAGGAAGAGAAACTATTCCAGGCACGTCGCCCTTTTCTCCGAAAACTTACTGCCATCTCCCTGCAGTACCAAAGCACTTCCGCCTTGACCCTCCAACGCGTATGTCCGGAGTCGTCTTTCACAGGCTTCGCTTTATTAGGCATGTGCTTTTTTTAGCACCCCCCATGAGCGCACAGCCTTCGTTGGTTTGTCGCCCATCTAATCCTCCTCGTGAGTCTCTATTGCCTTCTTATTCATTCCTTATTAATGGGCACTACGAATCAGGGTTTGGGACCATCCGCTGGATCAAACCGCCGAAGAAACTTCAAAAGTTGGTGTACAAAGCTATCAAGAAGTTTGAGATGATTCGCGACGGCGACAGAGGTCCTCTTCCCCGAGGGTTCTTTGCGCTGCTTCCTCACAGTTTGGCAGTCCTTGCATGCATTTCGGGCGGGAAGGACTCCCTTTCGATGCTGCATCTGCTCAAGAACTATCAGGACTGGATAAGCCACAGAGGCATCCGCTTCGAGTTGGCAGCCGCCACAGTTGACCCCGGGACGGGTGCGCACATGATTTATGGTGGCCTGACCTACAGGCAGGAATAACTGCTCTCTCCACAGACTCGTACAACCCGAAACCGCTGATCGAGTACACGCGCGCACTCCAGCTTCCTTACTTTTATATTTCTCAGGAAATCATCAAGCACGTAAATGCTTTTGGTGTGGATTGAGTGTGCGTTTCTTAGTGATTTTCTGTGCAGGCACTATCCATCCCCGACTTGGCCTCCATCTGCAGTTTCTGTGCAAGGATGAAGCGTGGCATAATATACACGTGCGCCCGCAGGTTACCTGAGAGTTCTCACGTGAGCGCCACCTACCTGTTAGTACTTTTTACTGTCCATGAAGAGAAGGGTACAATGTAGTTGCTTTTGGGCAGCACCTCGACGATTGTGCAGAAAGGTTTTTTTTTTTTCCTTTTTTTTTCATTCTTATCAACGCTTTGCCTTGTAGCTTGTTGATGTCACTCTTCCACAACGGTTTACTGCGAACCATGAAGGCTAATTATGTTGTTGCGTAAGGCTCGTTTGTCTTACTAATAATTACTTCCCAATCTTTCTTTCATTACGTATAGAGAAGGTGATTTGAGGATGATCAGACCGCTAGTTTATTGCCGAGAGAAGAATCTGCGGGAGTTCGCTGAGACTTCCCATCTTCCGGTCATCCACGAAAACTGTCCCGCTTGCTTCGAGGCTCCCACAGAAAGACAACGCGTAAAACAGCTTCTGGCAGCGCAGGAGCTTCTGTTTCCGGGAGTTTACCACTCGATAGGGCAGGTTTGGACTATCCCCCCGCCCCCATGGGAATCTGGTTATAAAATACGGGTAGGCCTTGGAACCACTGCTGGAAATTAATCAAGTTGGCCAAGAAAATAAAGCAAAGTCCTTGAAAGAAAGTTGTAAAAGGCGTGAAGAACGAAATAATAGCGCTTTAGGTGATTCTAGTAATAATATTTTGATTAAAAATTTTAATGATGAAACTCTGCTCATTTCCCAAAATAAATTCTAATTTTTTTTAAATACTTCTCAATAATGTTTATATGTTAAACTTTGCGCGGCCTGAAAACCAGTTAAAGTCATTAATTCGGCTGTTTTATATTTTTACAAAGTTAAGAACTGTTTTGTTTTACTGGAATATACAAGAAAATGTATAAATTATAATTGAAATATGATGGTCAGAGCTTTACGTAGTTTTTTATGTATAAAAAGATTTCTTACTCAGCGATTCTGGTAATTGCGAATTTATTTAGTGTGGCGAGCTTGAACTACGGCGTGAGAATATCTGTAGATATGGTAATATAAGTAAAAAGACTGAAGTTTAGAAATGGTATACCGTTAAGCTATGCGCCTACCACCCGCCTGATAACTGATGGTCCTTATATGCGAGCATCGGCGCCTTGAAAATATACTCGAGCTTAGTCGAGAAAACCGGCGCCTGCGCCTTAGGAAGAAGTTGTTGACACATCCCAACCGTCTGTGGAGACAAAGTTAAGTAATATTTCAAAAGCTGCCGACAACGGTCGCTTCTCTTAAGGCAGTTTATTTATAAGACGGAGACCCGAAAGCGATTTTTTGGCTGATGACGCAAACAAAGCGACTGGTCACCTGCTGCTTTGCGTGTACCACCTGCTTCCTTATTTGCAGACTAAGTGCTCTGGAGTCGAAATTCTTAGTGTTGCCGAAGGGCACCTTTGCCAGTCGCCACAGTCGAAATAATGATTATCAAAGCTCTGCCCAGCTGGAAGGTATTCAAGTTCGACGGTCTTAGCCACGTGCTGTTAAAACAAGTGTCAATGGTGATTGTGGGTCGTTTATGCTGCCGTCGGTTGGAATACTGCTACCGTTGTGGTGCCCTCAAATGCATTGCGACCAATCTCTACCCCAGAAGATTAAGGTCTATCAGTCTATTAAAAGCCTTTGGCAAAGAAGCTGAAACCACCTTACTGCATTGCTAGCAAGCGTGTTTACACAAGTCATGCCCTGCTAGAGTTCCAATTTGGATCTCTGCAAAGGCTTCCCCCGGCGCAGTTTGCCTTCCGCTTGACATAAGGGACATGCTCTTTGCACGTCACGTGCGCGACTTACCGCAATCCGACATTTCCCTACGAAACCCATTACTCTTTTCGTATTCCCTATGGTAAGTACCGTTACTGCTATTCGGAATTTTATTAATAGCTCTTGTCATAATTTAGCAGAGTTCTTGCTAAAGTCTTGAAATTATTATAGAAAAAAAATTGCGTATAAAATAGGTTCTTTGTTAATATCGCTAAGGTTATTTGTGAGTTTCCCTAATCGGCATTCGTAAGTTGAAGAATTTTATTTTCCGTAAGTTCTTAGACTAGTTGCTCGCCCTTTCGTTTTTTAGGGGTTTTAGCTTTCATCTCTTTTTAGATCCGTGACGAGTTACTTTGGTGAATCCATTTTTCTCTGCAGATCTTTTATGGTTACTAGAAATTAACACCACATCTTTGCAGCGACCTCTATCCATAAAAATTCTCAAACACATCAAGATAAATGAAAGAATTAAATAATTCTAAAAAAAACCAATCAAAGTAATCATAGAAAGCTTCGTAAAAAAATATTAAAACGCTCAGAGAACAAAATAAATGAAATTTTTTTTTATGATTTAGTATTAGTTTTTAAACATAAATCTTTTTATAATTGTGTCGTGATAAATAATCTATGCTAACTACTAATTTGTATACTATCTTAAAATGTGTTTGACAATTTAATTCAAGAAAGTAGTTCTTCACTCTAAATTGAGTTAACTAGTGTTTCTTATTACTTTAGATGCATATAATTACTTAAGCTTAGAGCAAATCTTAATTAAAAGATCTCGATAAGGATTATAGATAGAATCATGAATTCGAATCACACGAGATCATTCTTTCGCGGCCATTATCTCTGGGCGTTTATTTCCTCAAGTTGACTGTACAAAATCATTATCATCCGCCTTCAATATAGTCGTCTAACTCCTGAAAATAATAGGGTGGGCCCCTTGTAGAAGTAATAGCTTAACGGTACATAAATATATAACGTTGTTGTGCACCAGTTGTTTTCGCGGAAAATAATTAAACTAGGTTTCTGACTCAGGCTTCGTTGCTAACTTAAACCAACTTGACCTTTAGTTTTATGGACTGATATGTTAACAGCTTACTAATTTAATAAAAAATAACTTAAAATTTAAATTGAAAGCAAAGTCTTTTAGGAAAACAAAGACCGTTTTACAAATATTTCATTAAATGATGAAGAATATATAGCAGTGGCTTACCACGGGCGTGATAACAGTTAATTGTTGCTTTGTTTGCCCATTATAGTTCCCATTTTAAAAAAAATAGAAAACTGTTTTGCAGCACGTGACTTTTAACTTTTCGGGGCAGTCAACGCGTGCAGAGGCCGGGTACTAGATTTTCCTAGCTGTTTAAATTTCGTGGTTGACGCGTTCTGTCGGACAGGATAATATTACCGTAAGCGCTGTTTTATTTTAAGGTAAAAATTGGTGGAGCATACAACTTTGTAATTTTTTTTCTTGTGGTTTATAATAGTGTTATAAGTTACTCTATGCCGTTACCGTGAATTGTTTCGCTTTGTTATTTTAGATTTTTGTGTTTCGTTTCTTTTCGTTCAGTTCGATTCCCTTTGTTTCCGTTATCAAAATTTTTTACTTAAATGAGCTCTCCTGATAAAGTTATCGAACCAATTCGTTCGGAAGTATGTATAATTGGTTATTGTTCTCTATATGCCATAAATTATTTATAACCTTTTTTTTAATACTACTATTTATTAGAATGGCTTTTCCTTTTCCTCTGGTACCGTTAAGGTTAAAGACAGTGACGCCGTCAAACTTTTTGTTGGTCAAATACAAGTTAACATTACTGAAGATGACTTACTTAAATTTATGGAGCAAGTTGGTCCAGTTTTTGAGTTAAACATACTCAAAGATAGGTGAGTCTTGTTTATTTAATTTTATAGCTTAGGCTACGTTTTCTTATTATAAATTAGTATATTTCCAAGTTTTCTTTATACCTTCATTTTCCTGTTTATGGCATGCCTTAGTTTATAAAAATAATTTTAATAATTTGCTGCTCATTTCATATTTAATTATAGTAGCTCTATAGGGCAGGTGGTTTTTCGAATTTATATAATTTTTTCTTAGACACAGTCTTGTAATTTGTTTCGTTTTTTTGTATTATATAAAAATTCTAGGTCTACTGGTAAATCTAAGGGTTGTGGGTTTGTTTCTTACTGTCATAGAAAGGATGCCTTCAAGGCCATCGAGAGATTTCACAATAAAATGATTTTTCCTGGCGTAAAGAATTCTATGCAATGCAAGGTTTATAATATAACGTTTGTTATATTTTTATTTTGCAAAGTTAGTTTTTATAAACAAAAGTTGGCGGAAAGTGAAAATCGTGAAGAAGAACGGAAGCTATTTATAGGCATGTTATCGAAGACATGCACTGAAAGTGATTTGAAAGAACTTTTTTCTCCATATGGTACATTTTTTTTCTATTATTGGATTACTACATGTGCTTTTTACTAATTTTGTGTATAAAAAAATGAAGGCATCGTGGAAGAAGTAAAAATTCTTAAGACTCCTGAGGGGCAAAGTCGGGCTTGTGGCTTCGCTGTTTTTCAAATAAGACAGCAAGCAGAGTTGGCTATTGAGGGTCTAAACGGCGTGCACACAATGGAGGGCGCCGGCTCTCCTCTGGTTGTGAAGTTTGTGGATCCCGAAAAGGTTTTCCACTTATCATTTTCTTACATCTTTGGTAACTCGATTATGTCCAAGCAGGACAGGATGTTGAAAAAGTTACGGCAAGTGCAGCAGCAAAACAGCTATACTTCCTCCTACGTCAACCCAGCAGCGGCCTACCCTTTTTCCAATGGATCTCCGTTGTATCAGTATTGGTTCTATGATGTCCAGCCTCAGACTGCATGGGGTAAACCGCTGTAGTAGAAAGTTTGATTATTTCTTTCACGTGACAATATGGTGAGCTATCCTTTCCAGAACTGAACAGTTCTATCGGAATCAACCCGATTGCTCCTAGCGAGCCCCACTGCCTCCCTCTCGGGCCGGGAGTGGCTTATAACGGTTTTTCCGGCTATAGTTATGAGGCGTACTACGCCCAGCAGGCAGCCTTGACAGCTGCAGCGGCCGGTCACCAGGCAAAAGGCACTACGGCCTCCAAAATTTCTGAGGATGCTAATCTTTTTATCATGTATCTTCCGAATGATTGGACAGATAATGATCTTTATACGAGATTCACTCATTATGGGAATGTTCTGAGGTTTTCACAGAGGGTTTTGTATACTTTCACCACCAGTATAACATGCTGAAATATATAATAATAATAATAATAATAATAATAATAATAATAATAATAATAATAATAATAATAATAATAATAATAATAATAATAATAATAATAATAATAATAATAAGAATAATAATAATGGTAATATTTGTAATTAACTGATTTCTCGCAGCGCCAAAGTGTATATCGACAAGAACACGGGCCAATCCAAGTGTTTTGGATTTGTTAGCTACGACTCCCCCCTCGCAGCGTCGCGGGCTATTCAAGCCATGAACGGTTTACAGGTGGCTCGTTTTTAAATATTAGTATTTTGTTGGTTGATTGATTAATTTACAGGTCGGCCAAAAACGGTTGAAAGTTCGGCACAAGAATGATCGAGAAAAAATAATAAAGCCTTACTAATTTTTATATGCGCGCTACTCTTATTATTAAGAAGTTTTTTCAGAATAATCTAAACTGAGAAAAAGTCGGTGAAACGTTTAGATCGCAAAACATTGTATAATTTACTTGGTACATATAAAAAAAGCAATTTTGAAATAAAGTTATTAGAACTTTGAAGTTTTTTTTAGAGAATCCAAATGTATATTTAATAATTAAAAATACATTTGCAAAAAATTATGTGAACATTAACGCTACAGTTCAGCTTAAAACAAAAAAGAGCAAGAATAGCTTACCTTTATACAAAAGACTTTGCATTCATAAGCCGCTTTACAAGTTTTTTTTTGCTTTTTTGGAAAATTTAAATAGTCTTAAAAAGAATATACCACTAAATATTATAGAAAAATAGAGAAAATTGCTATATAATTGTAAGATTAATTCTTAAGTCAACGCGTGTTGCTTTATTTTTCTTAACATTAAAGCTATTTGTTTTAAAAAGTTGGTTTTGACGTACGTTTAAGAATCCGATTAAATTAAATGTCGCCTAAATTAACTATTATGTAGACAAACTAAAAATCTTTATAGATAGTTATGCTTGATTTAAATCTTTTTTTTTAAGGCGTTTAAAATTTAGTTCGGAGGTCCACAAAATTGGAGATTTTTTTATGGTTATCATTATATTCTTAGTCAATTGACAGATTTCATTGGAAGAACTGATATCCCCTCCAAACCGCAAGACCTGATTATCTATTTTTCTTATCGGTAATTAGTTTTTTATAAATTATAAATAAAAGATTACTTAGATTCCACTTTAAACCATTTGTCAATACCAAACTTGGCCCGCCAAAGGGAAGCAGTCCGCAGGTGGGGCCTTCCACAGTGTTGTTTACTTCTAAAACATGAGTTCCCTGCACTCGTATAATTTATTAAAGTTTAAAAAATCTTTTTAAGAGTCATCATAATACCTGATGGAAAGGCGATTAGAGTTTTACTTACTAATTTTTTTTTTAAAAGGTTTACAATAGCTCTTTTTCTAAATTATACAGCGCAACAACGAAAGGAATTCACTAAACTTATTCGTAAGGATTAAGGTAAAGTAGTCAATGGCTTAAATTGGGATAAAGAGCGTCTGATTTGCCATTAATTTGAATTAAAAGCAGTAGTTATATTTGACATTTTTATAGTAATTGAAAGTTCCATAAACTTTTTAAAACTCTAATGTTTACTTTTTTTAAATGTGATTAGAATTAAGGACGCTACTATGCAATATTTGCTCGTTCTTAATCCCCTAATGCCCATCATGGGAGCACTTATAATTAACTAAAAAAAATTACTTGCAAAGGAAAATTACTCAGTGGTAGACTTTACCTCTAAAAGCAAAGCGGAATAGGAGTAGTTGTCTATAAGATAGTATCGTGGGCAGTACAGCTCCTTTTGAAACTTAAATATTGTGTTAATGGAGGCCGCGGAGTGATCTACTCGGCCACTCAGGCCCCCGAGAATAAAAATAGTATTAAATTTCGTATGGTCATTTTGTTTAGCGTCTATAATAAATTTCTCTAAGACAAAATTGCACTATTAATACTTAAATAATAAATTTCACTTAATAAGTGGAGAACACATTTTTCTAGATCGTGAATTTCTTGACTGCCTTCTTTTAATACAGGAATCCCCTAAAGTAGCTTCTTTGTAAAGTAGCTTGTATATAACTTTGAACTTTTTTACTTGTATCGAATAAAATTGCTTCACTTCATCTCTTATAGAATCTAAGTCTCCAATAATTAAGTCGGGGAGAAAGCTAAAGTGTAAATTTAAAGTAATAAAAGTCAATGTACTTTTTAAAAGTTATAATAAATATTTATTTATATAACGACGTTTTAAGGACTAATCTTACTATGAAAAAGTAAAGGAGTCGTAAAGAATTTACAGTAAATTAATTATAAAGATGCAAAAAATTTGTTAGACCGACTATAGCTAAAGTTGATAACAAACGGAAGTTTTTTACGGGAAAAAAAAGTCAAAAAGATTGTCCAAGCGAAGTTCTATTAATTCTTCTAACCAAATATTCTCTTATAAAAGTCACAAATGTTGCCAAAAAGACTTTGATTGTGTATTTATTAAACTCTAAGGATGTAGATGTGTTATCGAAAAAATGTAAGTAGATAAATAACTTTTTTTAAAAAAAAAAAATTAAATAGGCCTAATCAAAATCAAAACTTTATAAAAGCCAGACAATTTTTTTTACGAACTACTCCTCTATGCTTAAACATAAAAAAAATTAATTTATTTGATAAAACCACTCAGTTCTCTGAAGCTTAGAAAAATGATCAAATAGTCGGTTGGCACCGCCATCAGCGCAAACTTTAAGTGAAGCTATAGAAATACAGAACGACTAAGAGTACTAAAAATTTTTAAGTTAAAGTTGATATATAAACCCTTAAATAGTAAAAAATATGAACTCGGAAAGTTAATTTTAAAATAATTAATAAAATCATAAAAATGGGAGTAATTATAAAAAGAAAATTACCTCCTCTCCAAAAAACTTCAAAGCTCTTTATCAACGGCTGGTTTAATACTATAAGCGCCGAACTAGATGGTTTAGCTTTGAGAACACGAATAATTGAAGGCCAAAGTACAGTGCTTACATTTTTTAATTTTTTCATTACTTCGCTTATTATCAATGATAATATATATATACGTATAATAGCATAATGTAAGTAGAGAGACGAGACAAAAGAATTTTAAAAAAAAAGGCAAACAAGGCCCCAACGATATGTAGTTTTACAATAAGAAAATTAAATTTTTTATGATTGGTTGATAAATATTAAGAAAATTTATTAGCCGTTTAACAGCTCAAGCTACAAGTAAAAATATGGTGTCTTAAGTTTGTTTGATTTTTACTTTTCAATTTATAAATTTAATGGATAATTTTTATGTACTTACTCTATAAGTATTGAATGGTTACTAAATATTTATTAATTTTTATATATATAATTTTTATATATCAACTGATAGCAACACTGAAAAGGGTGGGGGATAACAAAACAGTTACGTTATAGTTTGCAATAAGGTTTAAAAGAGGTGGTTGAGTAATAAGTAAAGTAAACTTACTTCTTCCGTATAAAGAAAACCGATATGTTGTATTGCTAATCTTTCTTATTAAGTTTCCAAAAAAAGGATTATACCATTTAGTATTCCATCCCTCAAGAGGAGTCAGGGCATAAGTGCCCAGTGATACTCTTTTAAAGGAGTAATAATGACTGTCCCGAAGGTTAACTCAAACCTTTTTGAGTAAAAAAATATGACATTAGGTTGAATAGCGCAATGATCTACACTCACAGGGTTTGTTAAAACAAGTTTATTTTTAAAAGAAAAAAAGAGTCACACCGTCTAAAGGGGTTAATTGTATTAATGGGCGGTTGTTAATTAAAACAACTCTGATCTAATAATAGTGAATAAAGTGTAAAGTAGACAGCCGTAGATTAAGACAAATGATGAAGTTGACACTAGAACAAGGTAGGAACTACAAAAAAAAACTTTAATCTAAAAATACGACTAATTGCTTTTTAGTAAAGGGAGTAATTAACGTACAAGAAATTTTCTAATATTTTAAGTATACTAGTTCTAACTAGAGGAATAATAAATTGATTATCCTCTTTAGATTTTTATATAGATAACACGATTCCATGAAATTTTATGTTTGTCATTCTTACGTAAGCCTTGACGAAAATATTTTACTCACTTCCACTACGTAGTATAACTTTAAAATAAAAAATATAATTTAAAGTGATAAAAGTGGGGTAATATAAAAGAGTATATTAAAATTTTATATAAAAAAATAAATAACGTAAGGTTAAATGGCGTTTTCTATCATAACAATCAACTATGAACAAATAAATGAAAGGATAGCGCTTGGTAAATTTTCCCTCACTATTTCGATTTAAAATCGTAAATAATCTTCAGTGATTATGAGGAAGAAGAAAAGAACTCTTAAATTTATATAAAAATCTTGTTAACCTCAATGACCAATGTTTCAGTTGAAGCAATTAATACAAAACATAATCTTTTATAAGGTAAAAAAACCAAAGGTAAATTCAACTCAGCCTTAAGGGTCTAGATTTACCGCCTTAACTCTGTATTTGTATAGGTGGGTCATAAAAAAAACCAATTTACATTTTTCTGTATAACTTGATTACTTTTAAACAATTGATAAATATTTTATTTTGCTAACACTAGTGCAAAACCTTTGCACTAACTCAAATAACTATATATTTATAAATTACGATTTTACTGGCACTACCACAACAGGGGTCAGCACCAAATTGGTTCCTTGGAACGCCCAAAAAGAATTGTGTTCACTTGTATAAAACTTTTTAAGTTACGATTTTTTGCATCTTTAGAGCAAGATAAGAAGATATGCAGACACATCGTTGTTCTCTTTATTTTCGCTAACTTTTTCTTCGATTGGGAGTAACTTAATTTAAGTCATGGAGAGTGAAGGTTAATAAACAATGAAATTTTTGTTTACTTGTACGCGAACATATTATATCTTTAATATCTACTGTCTATTTAGTATCAAGTTTATTAGAATATTCTGAAAAAGAATCATTTTCCTCTATTTTTAAAGGTTTTTTATTATTTTACTTTACTTTGTTATTAGTAACCGTATATATTTCTTCAAAGATTTAGTTGATGAAGATCGCTTCCTATCTTCTACTATTTGTGCAAAGTGTGACCCCTTTTTTATCTTTTAAGCTCCTTCATTGTCTCCTTTAAATATTATTATTTTGCCTTTTTAATGTTATAATAGAGATTTCTCCGAAAATGACAAAAGCACTTACTTCAGAAAAAAATCTTTTGACATTATAAATATAGATTTAGAAAATTCTTTTTTTAACGATGAGCTCGGCTTTAATGCTTATAATAGTAATAGTAATATTAATAAAAACTCCGGCGGACCCTTATTAGTTAATATGAACCATAACAACAGTAACATAAATAGTAAAAGCCCAGTCAGTTCAGATTATCAATTAAATAATTTCCCTAATTGTCAACATCCGCGATCAAAAGTCCAAGAATTTTGTAGTGAAAAAAACCATTCTTCAACGCCCTCGCAAGATAATAAAGAAAATGACTTTTATAGTGTTAAGATTAATCATTTCTGTAACAATAATAAAGCAAAATTTAAGAGCTGTGATTCTAAAAGAAAATGTGTTAAAAAAAACGTTACTCGCATGCCTGATCTTTGTACAACTAAAATGGCTTCTAAAGAAAACTGTCCTGGTTGTATGCACCCAGCTTTAAAGTTTAATAAAGCAGTATCTAACGATTCCCTTAAAGACTATGTAGACACTGACCGAAGTGGAGTTACTAATCATAAGTATCGTTTGAAACAAGAATTATTATTTAAAATCAAATTTGAAGATCCAATACTTGTATTTCCTCATATTTACTCTGGAAGTCTAATAAGATATGCAAAGTTGACCAACTCATCTTACACAGATGTGCAGATTTGTTTGTTACTTTATACTAATGGTTTTAATAATCTATATTCACTTTATATGTTGTTTATTATATTATTTTAGGATTAATAGCCTTTAAAACTTTGTTTTCTATACCTGATAATTATATTATTTTAGAATCATTTTCTGTTTTTAGTTATATAAATTCTCTGATTTATTTTTTTTTGCTTATATTAAATTGCTGTTGCTGATGTATACTATATTTATAGTTACTTGCCAAGAATCAAAATTTCAAATAAGTCAAAAACTTAAGTATATGATATTGAGAGGCAGAAAGACTATCAAGTCATTATTATCGCTCTATCCTTACTCTTTTATTAAAATTTTTTTATTTAAATTTAAAACGCAAATTTTATTATATGTAAATATTATATTTTGGTAATTTTTTAGGATTAATTCTAAAGGTCGCTACTTAGGTATATTAGTAAAGTCTGAGTAATTGAACAAAAACAGTTTCTTTGGTATTAGCAGTGAACGCTTACTATTGCTCTACTTTATATAATATAGCCTATTTTAAACGTTATTTTTTTTTATTTTGAAATAATTTATTAAATTTTTATTTATATTATATTTGTTTTAGTATTTCTCCTTTTTTTAAAATTAGGATACCTATCAAGCTGACACACAGTCCATCATCTATAGAAGCAAAGACGACTGAACATTTAGTTTCAGCCACCTTGATAGTTACAAATAATACAAAATTAGTTTTTGCAGCATTGCCAATCCAAGTTTGTATCAAAAACAAAGTATAAATGCGTTTATTAAGTATTCGTTTTCTAAGCATATACTAAATAGTAAACTTAACAAGAAAAAAATTTGCTTGGCTTTTTTTTAAAGTTATGTTAATTTTACCAGCCTTTTATTTTTGTGGAAGACAAAGAAAAGGAATTAGATGAAAAACTTTTTTTTGATTGTTCTTACTTCGGTTATTTTTTATACGTTATAATTACTGTTGATATTATATAAAATAACACATTTTACGTTATTAAACAATTGCTTACTACTTG